CTCGGCTCGGCACGGCACGGCACGGCTCGGCGGCAGGAGATGCACCTGCGGGAGTCAGACCCCCATCCCAGCCCATCCCTCTGGGACCCTCCCAAGGCCGGTGCGGTGATGGAGCGGGAGAGGGACACGCAGCCCCAGAAGTGTGCGAGGACGAGGAGAGCGGCTGCGAAGAGGTTCCACGAGGAAGGAGTCTCTCGCTGCCGGGCATGTAAGGAGTGGCCCCGTCGGGGAGAGCGCTGTCCGTGTGTGCTGGGGCCGTGCCGGGTCGGGTTTGGTGCTCTGTGCCAATTAGAAATTAGAAAACCTGACAGAAGGTTCACACAGTGTGAGTTTGCATTCGTATGCAAACCTTCAGATAAGAAATGCTGACTTGGAAATGCCATGGAATAGGACAGATATGGTTTAGAGAGAAATGGAACTAGAAACAAATTTCAAAGGACATCCTTACAAATAAGACTAGATACTTTGGAGAAATGGAACTATGAAAGATGCATTGGAGTGGGACCCACGAGGGGTAATTTTAAGATCATTTGCTTTAAGGCATTTGCAAAAGCTGAGAAGCCAAGAAACGCTTACAATGTATTGTAATTAGGAAATAGTTTGCTTCTGATTGTGATGTCGTGAATTTTAACATCTGTATTGTCTCACCCTTCACATGACACTAAAAATAGAATAAAAATTTTTAGAACGCCTCTCAGTTGCCCCATCTCTGGGTCAGAAAAGGCATAATCCGACATGTGCCAGCAGCTCCCGGCGGGGCTCAGGGCGGCTCAGGGCTGTGTGAGCCCAGAGGGGCTGCGGGGATGCCCTGCCCAGCCCGGCCGCCCTCCTCCTCGTTCCCGGTGTCCCGGGCACGTGTTCGTCCTGGAGATGGCCGCTAGATGGGCCCCGCGGCTCTTCTGCACCGCCAGCAGCAGGAATAGGGCTCCTGGCTGGCACTTGGGGTTTAGGAGGAAAATGACGGCTGAGGGAGAAGAGGGGTCTGCCTTACGCGGAAACGGGGCTGGACCAGGCAGCAGAAGTGATTTGACTCCGATGACTCCGATTTGCACGGCAGAGTGGTGTAGAAGGGGGCAGATTGCTAATTTAACCCTATGGAAGCTGCCCTTGGCCACAGCAGGGGGAGTTGGAACGAGATAATCTATAAGGTCCCTTCCAACCCAAGCCATTCCATGATTTTGTGAACCCCTTCACAAGCGAGGGCACCCTCCTCCAAAGTACATCAAAACTGGCTGGAGCAGCTGCAGGAGTTGCTCTCCCTGCCCTGGGCTCCCCCAATCACTCCCTTCTGGCCCCCAGCACAGCTGGCTGCACATCTGGCAAGCATTTCCCTCCCTGGCAGAAGGACCCCACAAAGCCGGGGGAGGAAGCTGTGAGCAAGGCAGTGCAGTGCCCTGGCTGGAGCAGCACCCTGGGATGCCCCAGGTGAAGTGGGGCACAGCTGGGCAGTCACAACAGCTGTAACATCTGTACAACAGGGATACCATTTGCTGTGGGACATTAGATGGCTGCAGTTAGTTTGCTGACAGTCTAGAAAACCCCAGGAAAACCCCCATGAATAACACTTCTGGTGCATCAGTCCCCTGCTGTGGAAGGTGCTGATAACCTGCCTCTCTCCTTACCTCAACTCAGGGGTTACCATACCATTCATCCAGTCAGGCTTTCCCAAGCCCAGCAGGGCTTGGCAAGACACAATCCAGCCTAGTGAGGCCTCAGGTTTTGGCTTTTCTATTTTTCAGATTCTGTTCTGCTTTAATGTGTAAGTCGAGGCTTCATATTAGGGGATAGTAAACTCTCTTCACAGAATAGGTAGACAAAACAATTCCTTCTCTAGCTGGGGACCCAAGGACAGCTGATCCAGGCCCAAGAGCATAAACAATGTGGAATGAAGAGAGAAAAACAAGAAGGATGGGACTTCATGGGCTGGAGCTGTAATTGGACAATTAACTCCAATATGCAAATGGACCAGAACTTATAAAAGTGTGAGACCCCATGACCTGTCATCCATTTTGTGACCATTTTGGGTTGTGCTGCCCAAGGTGGATCTATTTGAGACCTCTTAATAAATCCTTACTTTAGCTCTGTCTAGTCTCTGTTCTAGGTCAGCCTTCACAAGGCATCACTAGGCTGGTTGGGTTCCTGCATCCCCAGACATCCTGCACACCCTGCATGCAGGACTTACCTCCATAAGTCTAGGCAAGTGGTTAAGTGACCAGTGCCAGCCAAGGGTTTCCTCTGTGCCTCCAGAAAAGCAAGCCTGAGCACTTTTTGGACTCACCATGATTCCCTACAGCACTGAGACTGGGCTCTCCAGCCAGTGAAATAGACCCAGCCTCGAAGGCCCTACAGCCCCAGTATCACATGGTCCAGGGCACAGGTGTGCACCAGCTGCAGGTGAAATCCTGCAGAGGAGGGGCTGATGGCATGAGGGGGAAAACTGTCCTTGGGAACTGTCCAGAGCTGGCTTCTCACCCTGCATGATGTGATTCAGCAAATGCACATGGCCCAGGCAGCCCAGCTGCTTCCCAGGGCAGGTGAGGACTGGGGACAGAGCTGACCTGGGACACGGTGCAGGTGGGGATGTGGGGACAGAGCTGACCCAGGACACGGTGCAGGTGGGGATGTGGGGACAGAGCTGACCTGGGACACGGTGCAGGTGGGGATGTGGGGACAGAGCTGACCTGGGACACGGTGCAGGTGGGGACCTGGGGACAGAGCTGACCTGGGACATGGGGGCTCCTCTGTTGGAGACAGTGCCCAGCCCGGGCAGGCTGTCCCACCCCCAGTCCAGCCCGTGGCACGCCAAGCACTCGCCCAACTCCCCATGTGCTGGGTAAAGAGGGAACAGCTGCAGGGGCCCTTCTGCTGCCTCAGGAGCTGGGACAGCACCCAGAGTCAGGCCGGGATCTAAATTTAAACTCATGCTTTGTGTGTTTGTACATGCGAGTGCAGGCTCCAGCCCCCACTCCCCCACCACCTCCCTGGCTGCACGGAGGAGACAGAGCCCGAGGAGCTCCAGCTGGCTGGGACCTGGGGAAGGGGGGCTCCACTGCGGGGCAGGAGGGGAAGGGACAGCTAGGGGGGCAACACCATGGAGTCCGCTTCTCCCCAGGGTGACGTGAAGAAGAGGCAACAGAAGGAGAAGTCCAAGAAGCCGGTACCACCAATAGCTCCTCGTCCACCCAGGGCTCTGTTCTGCCTAACCCTGGAAAACCCCCTGCGGAAGGCGTGCATCAGCATCGTGGAGTGGAAGTATCCTGTGCTGCAGGGGCTGGGGTCAGTGTGTGTGTGCTGTGAGCAGGGCAGGGCTGCTGGGGAGAGCTGTCAGCCTGTTTCAGCCTTGTGCTGTCTCATCAGGCCTGTCAGAGGCAGCGAGGCACCCAGGGAGCCTTGCAGGATGCATGGCAAAGGCAATGGCTGTGCTGGCTGGGGCTGGTGGGGAAAGCTGGGCTGAGGAGTGGGTCAGGCCATGGGGCCTTTGGTGGGGTGGGACAGGGACAGCCTGGGGACAGGGGACTGGGGGGAGTGAGTGTGTTGTGTGTTGGGGAGCAGTGGGGCACAGACTCCTGAGAGGAGAGGGGGTTTGGCGTGGCAGGAGGGGGCACAGTGCCCATGCAGGGGTGGGGATGGGTCAGGCTGGGGACAATGTGATACTCTGGAGGTTTGGGGGTGGGTAGCAAGACCATGGGGAGTTGCTTGGGATGGCTCTTTGTGCGTATCCCAATCTGATCCCACAGCTGTGCTCTGTCCTGGTGGGAGGCCTCCCCAAATCCTTGCTGACGCCATTGTCCTCTCAGCTCCCTTTCCCATCCCTCCCTGGTAGTGCTGTCACAAGTGAAGGCTTTCTGTGGGTGATACTGTTCAGAGGGATAGTCTTGCTTTGTGCCTTTGGCTTAGTGTTGTAGTTCAGGTGTTGCTTTTTGACCTTTTCACTGGGGCATTACAGCTCAGAAATACCAAAATGTCATGTCTCTGCCATGCATCCAGGAACTATCACTTTGTTCACCTATGTTTTATGTAAAGGAAGAGAGTGGGAGATGAAATATTTCACTTTGATTTCAGCAAAAAATTTGGGCTGTAGCAAAAATGACAGACAGGGAAATAGAATCGAGTTCTTCCACCACATCTTTTCTCATTTTAGTTACTGAACCTTATCTGTGTGTTCCTGGCCTTGGCAAGATGATCCCACCCCTGGCCAGGCTTTACTCTGGGAGGTGGCTTGGTCACCTTAGGCTGGCTGTGTTGCTGTGGGAATACCAAAACCATGCCCAGAGATGCTGCTTTGTCCAAAGCCCTGTTGGCAGGCAGGAGGGCATGCTCACAGCTCTGGTGGTGCTGGAGTTTGAGACCTCATTCCTTCCCTGCAAGGGGACTCTCTGTCCTCCAGGGAGAGGGAGCAGGGCCAAAATGGGGCAGTTCTCATTTTCTGTGTCTCTGGCAAGAGAAATGATGGTTCTGTGGGCTCACAGAAGGGAACTGTGCCTGTGTCCTAGATGGGCACTGAGAAAGGAGGAAACTTGTGTGTATGCCTGAGTGGCAGGAGAGGTGTGGCATTCACATTCTCTGAACAGAGAGAGAGAGAGACATAATTCTCTCACAGGATTTTTCCTGGAGAAACACAGAGAGAAAAAGAGAAAACAATTCTTATCTCCATTCTCTGCTCCTGTTGTTTTTACACATGTAAAATGTGTTAAGAAAATGGTTTACCTAAAGAGATTTAGTAATTAAATTCTACTAAAGATTATTTTATTTCCTTAACCAATTAAAAAAACCTGTACATGACTGTCTAGAGACAATCACAAGATATTCTTTAATAGATATCTTTTATAAAGTATGATATAATATTCTTTTAATATCTCTTGAATATAATATCTCTTAAATTTATTATATTATAATATTATAATAATATAATATTATGTTATATATAAAACAATTATTCAACCTTCTAAATCAATAGAATCAAATACCAATAATTTCCCTACATCGGGGACTTCCTAAATACTGTAGGGAGGAGCTGGAAATAGCACTTACATCTTGCAGCATGCTCAAACACATTCTTCCTGCTGGGCCAGCATGTGCCAGAGCAAATGTACAGCACAGGGAGGGTCTTCTCTACCTCGGTGCTCTGGATGGGGGACAAGTGGGTGCCCCACAGCATGGTGGCATGTGCAGGTGGTTCTGACCTGTGCAGCACAAACGAGCCAGGGAATCGGGTTTCGGCAGTGCCTGGCTGTATTTATACCCAGATGCACCTGGCTGCTCTCACTCAGGGAGCAGGGTATGTGACAGGGTCGGGTCGTTCCAGTTCCTCTGGGTTATTATGGTCTGCAGGGACATGCAGGCTGCCAAGGGGAGATTAGCTGTGACCCTCTCGTGTGGGGGTACCTGGGCTGTGGGTTCTGTGTGGCAGTATGTGTTCCTGTTCCATCACTGCTGCGTGGCTGCAGCTGTCAGAGCACAGAGCTGAGCCACAGGGTCTTTGTCAAGCAGTTGAGGGGAGGAGACCACCACTCCACTCAGCCCAAGATGGGTGAAAGGCTGACTTGAGGCAGAGTGTGTTTTGTGCTGAAATTTGCTCACATCTCAAGAAATAGGTTCATTAGAACAAGGAAATTGAATGTCTGCAGTTTACTGGGTGTTGTGTGCAAGACAGTCCAACAGCCTGATGGTTGTTGGGACACGTCTCGCTTTGTGACACCACCCTGGTATTTCAGGTCATTCTGTAGCCAGGAGAACTTCAAGGCAGATGGGAGAGAATTCTGGGGACTCTGAAGGACCACAGAGCTGCAAGACACAGAGGCCTAATTCCTGCTGCAAGGCAGATGTGGGAACCCTTGGTTGCTGTGCGGTGGGAGCATGCTGCACAGAAAGAAGTTAGAATGCAAGACAAGGAGATGAGGAGGATGCTGAGGCTCTGTGTCAGTGGCAGGAGGCAGAGACACTGTACCCAGTTGTCCCCATGTCTGTTTTTTGTTCAATCTGTCCCACTGCATGTCTACCTCATAGCTGTGCCAGAATCACAGGCAGCAAGTGGATTGCAGCTCCAGTTACAGGAGCTCCAGTGGAGGTCACCCTTCAAGGAGGGCTTGTTTTGTCCAAGCAGGCAGGGAAGCCTCATTACCTGGACACACAGGGGAGCAGCTTTCCCAGCTGACTTCAGTTTTTAAAGTGTCATCAGGTTGATGGATAGAAAGGTTCAGAAAAGGAAACAAAGCCTGTGATGAGCCCAGGACAGACCTGACAGCATTCAGCCACTATTGGAACACAAGGCAACCCCTGTGGCAGGGAGGAAGGATGCATCTGACTCCATCTTATCAGAAGGCTAATTAATTACTTTATTATACTATATTATATTAAAGAATACTATACTAAAAAATACAGAAAGGATACTTACTCAATGCTAAGAAGATAATAATGAAAACTCATGACTCTTTCCAGAGTCCTGACACAGCTTGGCCCTGACTGGCCAATGAGTGAAAACAACTCACACTGGAGTCCAAGCAAGCAATCACCTTGGGTAAACAATCCCCAAACACATCCACATGAGCACAACACAGGAGAAGCAAATGAGATAAGAATTGTTTTTCTTTTCTCTTGAGGCCTCTCGCTGCCTTTCAGCTTCCCAGGAGAAAAACCCAGGTGAAGAAATCGTGTTCAGAGAATGTGAATGCCACAAGGCAGCACTCAGGCTGCTGTGGATGGCATGGTGCCCCTTGCTCTGTAATACTGGGCTGGGCAGTGCTGTGGCCACCAGAGCCCAAGGCAGCCCTCAAGGGAGAATACTGGGGGAAATAGAGAGTGGGGATCTCTGGAGGGAGAGCCTGGCTGCAAATGAGGCCCTGGAGACAGAGTTTGAGCTCTTTGGAGGCTTCAGGAAGGTGAGAGCTGAAGCTTGTCCAAGAGGTTTCAAGGCCCAACAAAGCAGTGGCAGCAGCAGGAGCCTGGGAGTGACCAAGTGCCTGTCCCAGGGTCTTCATGGGGAAATAGTAAAGTCACCCCTTTTGTTCTGAGGTGTCATGGGGCCCAAACAGCCCAGTTTCTACCTTGAAGGGGCTGGGACAGTCCTGGGGCTGAGCGCTGTGCTCACTCCTGGGGACAGTCACAGCAGTGCTGCCTGTGCTGGGCCACCAAGGCTGTGAGGACACCTGGGGGTGTTCTGCCACAGGAGCCCCTGGATGGCTGCCTTGCCCCTAGATACCTTCAGCTGGGGCCATAGGGCCCCCGTGAGACCCGAGCAGCACGAGTGTCCCTCATGGATGCCAAGTGCAGAGGGAGCCGGGGCCTGCCTGCTCTGGAGGGGATGCTTGGGGTGTCGTAGTTGAGACAGAGACAACACAAAGCAACACTCTGTTTTCAGAAGGCCTCACACTGTTTTTATTCCAGCATGCATGCTTTTTATACATTCTTACAAAACCCATAAGTTTACTCATTGGTCACAAGAGACAAACAAAGTGCTCTTTGGAATAGGCAGTTGCAGGTTTATCTTATTTATCCTTCTTTCTTTCTTGGTTTCTATGTCAACGACCTTGGTAGAAAATTCTTTCAGGGGTGAACATGGATCCTCTTCTCAAACTTCCCTCTGGCTCACAGGAGTTGCTGTAAAACCTCTTCCACAGGTTCAGTGCCTACATTCTGAAAAAGGCTCCTGGTCCTTCAGGGTGATTCACTGAAGGATGAGGAGGGGCAAGCTGCCAGCCCTCCCATCCCTTTGTCCTGTGGCGAAGCTGACCCCAGTGTCCTGGCCCTGCAGCCCTGAGGATGTGCTGAGGCTGAGGTCTGGCTGCTCTCTCTGCGCTCTGCCCCCACGGGGGTTTGGTTCTCCACACCCACCCAGGCAGAACAGGACAGAGCAGGGGTGGGGTTATTCTGCTTTTTCTTTCCTGTCTGCACTCCTTGACACTTCCTCCTAGACCCTTCGAGATCATCATCCTCCTCACCATCTTTGCCAACTGTGTTGCTCTGGCCATCTACCTGCCCATGCCCGAGGATGACACCAACATTGCCAACTCCAGCCTGGTAAGGAGCCTGGGAGCCCTTCCCACAGCCTGAGTGAGGGCTCTGTGGGGCTGCTGCCTTGGGGTGGCACGGCTGCAGGGTGGCATGAGCTGGTCTGGGGCCATCTGCTGCCCCAGGGGGAGTCAGGCAGTGTTGGTCCAGCCAAAGCTGCTGCAGTCAGTGGGAAGCAGGGGTGGGAAGAAGTGACTGCAAAATGGGTTTTCAGAGGGGCTGAAAGCACCTCTGGGTAGAGATCAAAGACAGCAGGTTGTGTGGGGAGTACACATGAAGGAAGAATTGATACCAATGAAGGAAAAAATTTCCTCAGATTTTTTAAATCACACTTTCAAAAGGAACATCCTGTTCCAGAAAGGCTTAAATGGTTTGTTTCAGCATTTTGGAATACATTTTTCTGACCTTTCCTTTCAAAACTCTATTTTAATTTTTTTGTGTGTATGTGGTTTTTAGTTTTTTTTTTTTTTTTGTTTGTTTGTTTGTTTGTTTGTTTTTTATTCTTCAAGAGGGGAAAAAACCTGTTTCTGTTAGGCAGAAAGGTTACTCCTTTCCAATCATTATTCTGTGTTCTTCCACAGTCGCTCCAGTTTTCCTGGAATATGATGTTTTGATGTGACCCAGATCAACAGTTTACACTATTTTCAGACTGCCACACCTTTCTACTCTTCAGATCCCCACTGTGGTTCAGTCCACATTGATTTCCATTGAGAGACTGAGTATAATGACTGAATCAAAACATCTAAATCCCCCTGTTAATGAAACGGGGTTCCAGACTCCTCAGGGTGAATGCCCATGGAGGGTTAGATCCTGGGCTGTTCCTTCAGCCTCCTGCCTGGTCTGACCAGCCTCCCTAACCCCTCGGGCTGGTTTGGGGTTCTTCCCTGGCTGGGGGCACAGCAGGCTTTGGTAGGTGCAGTTACCTCAGGGGAGAGGTAAAAGGGACAAAGCAAGGCTGGGGCAGGTTGCCCATGGAGACAGAGGGGATGGAGCTTCCCTCTGGGAGAGGGCTTGGGATGTGGCTGAGCCCTGTGGGGGCAGAGCTGGGGGAAGCCCAGGTGTGTGTGGGGATAGGGGTGAAGTGGCACTGGCCTCACAGGGCTCCCAGAGGGGCTGATGCTGCCCCAGGAGCTTTCCCATGAGCAAGAGGCACATGGGCAAGGGCCAAGTGATGTAAATTCACTGCATACATGAAATTCCATCTATTTTTATTTCTTATATATTGGATTATTTATGCTATACCCTACTAGGGGGATGTTTCAGCCTGTTGCCACAGTAATAGGTATCAAGAGCCAGGTAGCCCCAGGCTGCTGTTCTTTCATTCCTGCTTGCTGTCCCTTTGTCACCATGTTCTGGTGGCTTTGTAGGAGTAAAACCAGCTGAGAATTTAGCCAGGCACCCATCACCTGAGGCATCAGGCTATGGTTAGCACAGGCCTGCTGTTGGAACCCTGGTTACTGAGAATTTCAGACTGTCTGTGCTGACAGGCACTGACCCCCAGGAGAACACTGCACTGACCTGAGGCCGTGGAGAAGGCTTCCAAAATGGAATGATAGCACTGGGATTGTGGGTGTGGAGTTTGAATAGAAGTGTGTGATATCACAGGGTGGAAAACTTAGAGTTTAAGGTTTTAGAATGTAGTAATATAGATAAAGCAAGATGGAGGTTTTGGGGCAGAGGCTGCTCCTTCTTCACCTTCTTCTCCATGGGTTTGGTTGGGTTTGTGTAATTGGATAAAAAAGTCCACATTGCAGGCACAATTGGTTATTGGGTTAAAAGTAAAAATAATTTAGTTGTCATTTCTTAATTGGACAATTAAGGCCTTGTAGAGAGAAAGATGGGGCTCTGTTTTGTTGTTTGTTAGTGAAGTGCTGTAGAACTCAGGGTTTGTGAGACTGTGACAGAGATAAGAACCAATAAACATCTGAGTCTCAACAAGAAATATCATCTCACACATTTAATCCTGATCTTGGCAGAGAAAAGAAGCAAAGAATCCGCAGCCTGCAGATAGTGAAGAAAGGCTTGTGGAGGCATTTTACTGCAGCAGAGAGATGCTGTGATGTGTTTAATATCTCCCTATCCCTTTTCTGTCTCTTCATTGCCCAATGCTCTCTGGAGAAGGTTGAGTTTAAAAAAAGGCATTGGAATTATTGAGAAAGCAAAATGTATGATGGGAAACTGAGTAAGGGCAGTGAGAATGTTGCCCCATGTTTTTTGTGTGTGATAGATAATTTAGTTGTCATTTCTTAATTGGACAATTAAGGCCTTGTAGAGAGAAAGATGGGGCTCTGTTTTGTTGTTTGTTAGTGAAGTGCTGTAGAACTCAGGGTTTGTGAGACTGTGACAGAGATAAGAACCAATAAACATCTGAGTCTCAACAAGAAATATCATCTCACACATTTAATCCTGATCTTGGCAGAGAAAAGAAGCAAAGAATCCGCAGCCTGCAGATAGTGAAGAAAGGCTTGTGGAGGCATTTTACTGCAGCAGAGAGATGCTGTGATGTGTTTAATATCTCCCTATCCCTTTTCTGTCTCTTCATTGCCCAATGCTCTCTGGAGAAGGTTGAGTTTAAAAAAAGGCATTGGAATTATTGAGAAAGCAAAATGTATGATGGGAAACTGAGTAAGGGCAGTGAGAATGTTGCCCCATGTTTTTTGTGTGTGATAGTCAGAAAAACTTCCACAGACACTGAAGGGTTTGATTTGCAGCCTTGGGAGAAGCTTGGATTGATGTGAAAATACAATACACAGATATTAAGTAGAAAAATAATAAATTTATGCTTCTGTAGTTGTAAGTGAGAAGTAAGTGAGAAACTGTATTGATAAGATGGTGAAGCGTTTATAATGCAGTAATGTAATAGTATGGAGTAGGCTGGGAGTTTAGAAGTAATAATAGAAGCATCTCTGTGCATGTGAGACAGAAGCCATTGGATAAAAGTGTCCACAGTGCAGCAGAATTAAGTAAAGGTGATAGGTTAGAAAAGCAAAATAAACCCTGTGGCAACTGTCCATTGGGTTAGAAAGTTCTATATTGGCCTGTAACAAAGAAGTTGTGACCACTCTTGAGCTATGGCTGAGTGCTTGCTCCTCTAAAATCTCACAGCCTCCGAGGCTGATGTTCATCCGAGCAATAAAACCTTCTTAGCCCCCCAATAGTGCCATCCCCGCATTAAAAGCAGGGATAGGGACGTTGGTGGGGCAGCACGGAGGCTCCCTCCCGGCAGGGCTCCCTGCTGAGGGGTGAGGGCCTGCCCAGCCGCGGCCTCCTCAGGGACGGCCGCTCTGCAACGCTGCAGCGCCGAGAGCTCCTTGTTATGTTTGCCCAATTATCCAATCACAAATAAAAAGCCAAACAAAATTAAATGTAATAATAATTTTAATGAAATTTAAATGAAATAGTTTAAAATATATAAAATTGAATACATTTAATAAATTGGCAGTATAATTTGGTTATAATAAAATATAGTCTGGTTCGGGTAATGACGCATAAGCAAAATTACCGCGGGGTACGGAGCGCGAGGGCCTTGGGACCCCTGCCACCTCACGTACAAGCTTGCCAAGCCCAAAATTCCCCCCTTTATACTGTCCATTATCAGCATCCCCTCCTATTTCTGATTCATCACACTGGTGTCTCCACCCTCATCTTCATCTTCACCACGCATGCGCCACCATCTTTTAGGGGGTCGCACCACTCTTTGGGGGTCGTCCAGATGAAGGCCGCTCCTCTTCCTCAGGTGTCCTTTATTTCACCTTTGGGTTACACATGCGCACCAAGCTAATAGCATATATGCCAAACCAAAATTATATAAGCCAATATAATAAATCTCATAAATTAACATATTTCTGATTTCCACCCAAGTTTTCCCTCTTTCAGTTAATTTTAGCAAGCTTTATCTGACTCCTTTTCCTGCCTCGAACATCTGCAGAAGATAATGGGGGGGTGGACCCTTCCTCTCCGCTTTCCTAGCTTTTTACCTTTTTAACCATTTTGTTATCTCCAAATATTGATTACTATATCAATATTGATTACTGTTTCAATTATATCAATTTTATCAGCACGAATCACACCTATTTATCACATCCTCAAGGGATGCCTTGTGGGGCTCCCTAAAACAGAGGCTAGACAAAATGAAGAGAATAAACAGCAATTCTGTTTATTGAAGGACCTGCAGGTACATTTTGGGCAGATGAAGCCCCCCAGGGGCTGCACCCAAAATGGACACGGATTTTCACACTTTTATAAGTTAGGTCCATTTGCATATTAGGGGTTCATCTGCCAATTACAGCTTCAGGTAATGAAGCAATTTACCCTCAGTTTGCTCCCCCAGCTCACTTTTGTTTCCATCTCTGGGGCCTGAGGCAGTGAGGTGTCCTTGGTTCCCAGGCCTGGAGAGGAATTGTTGTGTCTGACCAAAATGGAAAGCAGCAGCCAACACTCTATATAGAGTTTAGAGTTATGCACCAAAGAATTACAGGATTACAAATAGATGAAAAATATAAAAGCTGGAATCCTAAGGCATCACAAGGAGAGTCGCAGGAAGAGAGGATTCCTAGGAGACCTCTGCTGCCACTGCCTTCCTGCAAGACTGGAAAACCTGCAGAGCAGCCACACTCTGAGCTTCCATGACCAGCCAGGGAAGAGATGCACTCAGAGTCTACACTAGATTTACAGTTATCTCATGAAACCTTGGTTAATCAGAACTCATTTATGGGGGTGAAAAAATTAAATACCATAAGAATGAAAATAATGAAATAACCATAACCATAAATTTTCTAATAATCCATTTTGCTTTGTCCTGGAAGAAGTATGAAATGTTTCATTTCAACACATTACATTACTACGCTTTCTATATTAGATTTCTTTTGATCCAGAATGTTTTTTAAATCCTGTTTGTATCTGATTTTGTCTTTTTCTAACGGAATCACAACATTTTCTTCAACACTGATGAAATTATTTTGACTTTTCAACTTGTTCAGTAATTCACAGCATTTATTTTCATTTTCTGG